TTTTTTTCACTTAATAGGTGAATAATTATTATTATCGAATTTTGATTTAATTTTTTTGGCAGCTGGCCAGTAGAGGAATTGAACCCTGGACGTTGGTGTTATCGGCACCACGCTCTAGCCAACTGAGCTAACCAGCCAGCGCTTTAAGTGTTGATATTATCCAGTGTTAATAATGCTGTGACGGAACAGGCACCTTGGATGGAAATATAAGTTGATAATACCAGTACTACCCTTAAACAGGGAGAGAGAGGCTTTCCTGTACTTTAGAAGACCCCCTTCTGGCCCTCATCTATGCAGCCTTCCACATGGGTAGGAAGATTCGATGAGGTTCAGACAACAGGTCCCCCTGGAGCCATCTCCTTTTAGACCAGTTATAGCTTTAGCCACATCTATTCTTCCTGCCTTCTAGATAAGATTTATTAAGATTCCCAGTGAGGGCTATCTGGTTAGCTCTCTAGGTTAGAGTGTGGTGCTGATAACACCAAGGTCAAGGGTTTGGATCCTCATACAGGCCAAATCCACCCCCCCCCCACCAATCCCCAATCATTAAATTACCACTGATTCCTGACAGCATCTGATCCAGAGCAAAGCCTCGCAGACTTAAAGCTTCCCCAAATCACCTAACACAGCCGATATCCCATATTAAGTCCTTTTTACCTTTCCATACTGGGACACCCTGTGGTTCCCCAATGGTGTGCATTCTCCTTTCTTGCAGTGAGTTTCTTGCTGGGAGTTAATAAACCCAACTTTGTTTAACTGAAGGTGTGTTCCTGGAGGGCACTGATAAGCCAATTAACTTACAAAAGGGGAAGGAGGGAGTGTCATTATTCCATAAACTCTAGATATGCTTTTATAAATCCTGTCTTGCTTTTGTTCATAGACCTACATTGCTTTATCTTCTAGTGATTTGAACATATTATCATAATTGATATCTTTACCTTTTATAATTCTTTTTGGCTTAAGGTCAATTTTGTTGGCTGGCTGGTTAGCTCAGTTGATTAGAGTGCAATGGTAAACACCAAGGTCAAGGGTTCAGATCCCTGAACTGGGCAGCTGACAAGAAATAATAATAATAACAATATAACTATGCAGATTTGGAGGAAGTTAATTTTCTCATGGCTCTATATTTTTCCACTTTTTTACTCTCAGCGTATAAGTATGCTTTAGATGTGTCTCTTAAAAATATAAATTTTAAAATATAATATAATGAGGAAATGGAAATAGTAGAAATAACTAGAAATATAAAAATATAAATTTTAGTGCAGGCTGGTTAGCTCAGTTGATTTAGAGTACAGCCTTGTAACACCAAGGTTGAGTTCGGATCCCCATACTAGCCAACTACCACAAAAAAAAAAAAAAAA